ATGCATTTATTTTAATTTTTATAACTAACCACCAGAGGGCGCTCTCTCCATATAAAGTGATTTATAAACGATAAAATGCATTTATTTTAATTTTTATAACTAACCACCAGAGGGCGCTCTCTCCATATAAAGTGATTTATAAACGATAAAATGCATTTATTTTTATAACTAACCACCAGAGGGCGCTCTCTCCATATAAAGTGATTTATAAACGATAAAATGCATTTATTTTTATAACTAACCACCAGAGGGCGCTCTCTCCATATAAAGTGATTTATAAACGATAAAATGCATTTATTTTTATAACTAACCACCAGAGGGCGCCCTCTCCATATAAAGTGATTTATAAACGATAAAATGCATTTATTTTAATTTTTATAACTAACCACCAGAGGGCGCTCTCTCTATATAAAGTGATTTATAAACGATAAAATACATTTATTTTTATAACTAACCACCAGAGGGCGCTCTCTCCATATAAAGTGATTTATAAACGATAAAATGCATTTATTTTAATTTTTATAACTAACCACCAGAGGGCGCTCTCTCCATATAAAGTGATTTATAAACGATAAAATACATTAATTTTTATAACTAACCACCAGAGGGCGCTCTCTCCATATAAAGTGATTTATAAACGATAAAATGCATTTATTTTAATTTTTATAACTAACCACCAGAGGGCGCGCTCTCCATATAAAGTGATTTATAAACGATAAAATACATTAATTTTTATAACTAACCACCAGAGGGCGCTCTCTCCATATAAAGTGATTTATAAACGATAAAATGCATTTATTTTTATAACTAACCACCAGAGGGCGCTCTCTCCATATAAAGTGATTTATAAACGATAAAATGCATTTATTTTTATAACTAACCACCAGAGGGCGCTCTCTCCATATAAAGTGATTTATAAACGATAAAATGCATTTATTTTTATAACTAACCACCAGAGGGCGCCCTCTCCATATAAAGTGATTTATAAACGATAAAATGCATTTATTTTAATTTTTATAACTAACCACCAGAGGGCGCTCTCTCTATATAAAGTGATTTATAAACGATAAAATACATTTATTTTTATAACTAACCACCAGAGGGCGCTCTCTCTATATAAAGTGATTTATAAACGATAAAATACATTTATTTTTATAACTAACCACCAGAGGGCGCTCTCTCCATATAAAGTGATTTATAAACGATAAAATGCATTTATTTTAATTTTTATAACTAACCACCAGAGGGCGCGCTCTCCATATAAAGTGATTTATAAACGATAAAATACATTAATTTTTATAACTAACCACCAGAGGGCGCTCTCTCCATATAAAGTGATTTATAAACGATAAAATGCATTTATTTTAATTTTTATAACTAACCACCAGAGGGCGCCCTCTCTATATAAAGTGATTCATAAACGATAAAATACATTTATTTTTATAACTAACCACCAGAGGGCGCCCTCTCCATATAAAGTGATTCATAAACGATAAAATACATTTATTTTTATAACTAACCACCAGAGGGCGCTCTCTCCATATAAAGTGATTTATAAACGATAAAATACATTAATTTTTATAACTAACCACCAGAGGGCGCTCTCTCCATATAAAGTGATTTATAAACGATAAAATGCATTTATTTTAATTTTTATAACTAACCACCAGAGGGCGCTCTCTCCATATAAAGTGATTTATAAACGATAAAATACATTTATTTTCAACCTATAACTTTTAATTAGAGTCTTACATCATTGTTTGGTAAATTATTTATATTAAAGCTGCATTTTTACTTTAAACCTTTTCTTCTTAGGTTTAATTTTACTTTTCAAACTTATTTTTTAATTAATTTAATTAGTTTATTGTTGTTTGGTTTTCTTAATGAAAATACCACAAACCTTTTTATTGATTTAATTGAAATGATCAATTTAATTAAAACTGCTTTTTTGATTATGATTAAAATATTTGATATGAGTACATCTTACAGCTCATTGAGCTAATTTAGATTAAACATAAATTAAAAGGAAACATTTACAAGTTAAAAGGGTTGTTTTAAAATTCTTCTTCCTTGCCTTGATTTTATTAACTTTCATATGCTCATAACTCTTCTTCACCTACCTTATGTTCTCCATTATATTAAGTTCATTGATAATATCACAGATTAATTACAACTCTGAATATATATCATATACATGTATAAAGCTCACACAAGTTAAAGGTAAACAAACTTGTAGAATTATTGTAAAAGTTATAATATAAGATAAATCTGTTTAGATGTTTCTTAAGACCTTTATACTCAATGTTTCTATTTTATATTCTACATTTAAACTTTGAATTTAAGTTTTCTTCGGTCTCATCCAAAACCCTTAAAGTGAAGTTAAACACAGATCATTTACAGTGAATGATAAAACCCAGGTTTATTCCAGTCATCACAATGTTGTATAATCACAAACATTTTCTGTGTTTTATTTGGGTTGGATTTTGTTTTCTTCATGTTTCCAATTAATAGATATGTAAAAATTTACCTGAGGGCCACGTTTAGGGTTGATGGAGGTCGCATTTGGCCCCCAGGCTGCGAGTTGCCCACCCCTGGGTCAGTATGTTGTTTTTTTTAAAAATTGGGACATCGTGTTGTGAATTGGCACAATTCATGTCACATGAGCCTCTAACCAAAGGTCATTTTCTGACAGACAAAGTTTTTTGAATCTTTAACTCTTTATGTTTTTGTGTAGAATTTTATGCAAAACTTGTAAACGAGAATTTGGCTGAACGCTAGCTTTTAATTCAAAGAATTAAAAAAATGACAAAACACACGCTCAAAAGTTTAAAACTTTAATTTGTGAACCAATGAAATGGACTGCAATCCATCTGTGTTATCTATCATGAAGAGTACTAAACATGGAAAAAAAAAAAAAAAACAGCAAAATGTGACAGCTGGTGCCAGTGCAGGCATCACCACGGACCCTGGCTTCACTGGAGGGGACAGGCGGGCCAAAAAAAACCCATTCATCTGAAGCCTCACAGCTTGAACGTGGAGTAGAGACGGGGCGGGGCTGTCAACTAGAGTTTTCCCCTCCAGGGAAGTTGTCCAGTATAGCGATGCATGCTGCTAATTGAGGTTCTTCGTACAAAACAAAACAAACAAAAAAAAAGGGCTGGAAGCACAAGTAAATTTTTCCACCTGCTATGGCAAACACAACACAAACAATGTTCTCTCAATGGACACTGAAGTTAAACACAAAAGGCAGGCTTCAGTGTCCTGTTTCAAACAAGTGCTTGAACTTTAAAACTCTGACTATTAAAAGAAAAGATTAACCCACACCAGCTGTCACATAACAAATAATACCATCAACATGTTTTCATCGGATTGTTAATAATAAAAAAAAAAAAAAGCACGCTCAAGCTGATTTCCACCCCAACAATTGTTTCGTTTTCTGTGCGCCAAAGTTTTGTTTGAGATTTCATAATAAAGGTTATGGAAGAAATTGGCCTGCTCTCCATTTGACACTGGAGAGATTTGAACAGTCGGGTCTCTTCATGTTAAGATCTACTTACAACTCCTCCATTTCTGTGATCACAAGTTTCTCATTTGAACGAGAACATGTCAGGTCCTTCACGAGAATCGGCCTCCTAATGATCAAATGCCCCTCAACACCCCATCCTCCATTTTCACTAATTGACAACAAAGCTTCTTCACATCATTCAGTACATCTCAAATACGATCTGTGCAGCATCATTTCAGTCACCTTTCTCATCGTTTGTTTTTTGCAGAAAATGAGAATGAACAAGAAAATCTAAGCAGGGTAGGGAGCAGGATGAAACCACTGTCTTAACATTACATATACAAAAAAAAAAAAAGTTTCAAAATAAACATTTAAAGGGTAAAGTTCAGTGATTTTTAACCAGGTCTGTATTTTTACTTTGTAAATTGCTTCAGCCTGCAGTCAGCGGACCGGCTGTAATGGCTGCAATTAAATCTTGTAAAACATTTTAGAAAGGATCGATACAGAGATACTTTTTTTGTTTAGTAAAATCCTTCTTTAAAACCCATTATCAGCCGTTACAGCGCCCCAAACTCCACTGATAAAAACTGTTACTTTATCTTGCAGACATCGTAGTTGCTGGTCAATCTTTGCTTCAATCAGTTCATTTCTTTCCTCTTATCAATTGACTTAGATGAAATAGTTCTTCAGAGCTACGTCACATTAAGAGAACACTAAAAGATGTAGGCAGCAGTAGACCAGCGCCTCCTGTTCTGTGTAGTTAAATTAACCTTTTTAATCGATGGAGTTTGAAAGCTTAGAAGAGAGATATCTTAACTGCTGTTTCTGGTTGAAAAAAAAGAGTCTGCAGATGCTTTCTATAACGTTGGTGGACACTTTGTTGAAGCCATTACAGCCTGCTGAAGTCTTTAACTCCCCAAAATATTAGGCAGATCGTATCGCCTGCAAAGAAGCACCACCCAAATATGTAACAGCAACCACGTGAAGGAACAACCTTCTTTTTTTTTTTTGATCGTCTGGAGGGCGGAGGGAGGCACCATGAGTGTTTGACTTCCAGTCACCACCGCTAACATTACTGAGGTAGAGATTTGTCCAGAGATCGAGGACTGATGTTTTCATAAGCTCCCCAGTCAGAGAGGAACCAGGCCTTCCACACAAACAGTCACCCTGTTCCTCTGTGAGCTGGTAGGCAGAGAAAACCATCTGTGGTGACTGGGAATCAAACACTGGATGCTTCACACACATACACACAACTATCAATTAGCTTATCTTAGAACACTTCCTCATTGCAGGGTGACAGCTCCTTGCTACCCTATCACCTCTGCATGTAAAAAAACAAAAACAAACAAAAAAAAAAACTTTCCCTTTGTGACCTCTGCTACATTCATTCATCAGACCCGGCCTTCTGACTAGACGGGTGGCTCTATTCCCAACGAGCTTCCATTTCATTCTAAATACTGCTTTTGTGGATTTTTAATTCAGCCCGACATGAAAGTGTTGAAATACTGCAGTGAGTTTATTATTATAACCTGTAGTTATTGTTTAAATGAATCCAATACATTGAAATGACCTCAGCTCACAGACAGGGATATAAATAGCATAATTAGCTTGTAATATTTTGTTATAATGTAACATAGCTTTGACACTAAATGAAAATATTGACCTACTCTCCCCCCCAAAAGAAACTCCAGTCTGTATTCAAATGTTGGACAGACAACTTAAAAGAAGGGTGCCATCAGTAAAACGAGTCAAAGAAAAAGCAGCAAAGACATCTTAAAAACAAAAAGAGAGGACATACGTAACCTTTGCATACAAGTCATCAAGCATTACAAACAAAAAAAAAAAAATAACACAAATGTAGCTTTCTATGGCCATGTTAGCTCAAAATAAAAATGCTTCACTTTTGGTTTAGCAGTTTCTTTTCAGGATTATAGGAGACGTTGATCAGAGTGGCGTAGGCAGCTCCGTTAATGTCGGAGTGGAAATGCCGACTTTGGCAGTTTTTTGACTTGTCAGGATTGCCGGGGCGAGCATCTGTTGTCCATGAAAACTGAGCATCCGCTGACGGGAGAGTTCGGGAGCAGATGAGGAAAAGGTGCTGCTCTCACATGGACTCAAACTCGTCGATGCGTTGCTTCGTGTTGCCCTGTCGGATCTGGCGGAGGGTTTTGTATTTGTCTCGGCCCGCTTTCACGTTCTCGGCGTGCAGCACGTCGTTCTGCGTCTTCTTGGTTTCGTCTCTCGCCTGGGCCAACTCTGAACTTAATGTCTGAGAGAGCAAAGAGAAGGAAAGGTGAGGAGAGAGGAACAGAAAAAGACAACAGCAGTGGAGCGTACAGAGACAAAAACTCAAAGATGCAGAAGAGGAAAAAAAAAATCATGTTGAATTAAACATAATCCATTTGACCTTGTGAAATGAAATGTCAACGTTGTCCCTTACCTGCAGCTGCTTCTTGACCCTCTCGTTCTTCTGGGCCTCAGTGACGCGCGCCTCTTCACTGCGCAGGTCGAGCTGACTGACTCCCTCGTTGGAGAGCTCTGCGCTGTCCTCTGCATGGTTCTCATCCTGCTCGTCATGCTCGTTCTCACCGTTGCCTCCCGGAGGAGCTGGCACCACCGTCATGGCTGTCTTCAGCTCCTCCTTGGTCTTCTCCAGGTCCTCCTGAGCTGACAGAGCCTGCAGGTAGACGACACAGAGAGGGGAGAGTAAGACTCTAGTTGGAAAGATTTCAAAGTGCTTGCATGTTCTTCTGATATTTGAATTTAAAATCAAATGTAGGCTGAAAGCACCTTGTGTTGCCATTGTGAGGCTTCATCATCTTTCTTTTTTTTGGCTTCTTCCAGCAGAACGATCTTAGCTGTGAATTCAGCCAGTTCTGAAGCCTGGGAGAAAACCGACACAAGAATGTAGCATGAATCAAAAATAAAACATCAGAGGAATTTGGTTCAAAAACACCAGATAGTAACATAAACACACATACCAGTTGCTCCTGGGTCTTCTGCTGGTCTGCAGCCTGTCTGGCCAGTTCTGCCTTCGCCTCCTCGGCCGCTAGCCTGTCTCTCTCCAACCTCTCGGCTTCCTCTCTCGCCCGCTTTCTCTCCTGCTCCAGCTCCATGGCTTTGCGAGTCTGTTCCTCCAGCTCTGTAGACGTGTTACAAATCATTTGATATCATTCATATTTACACAAATTCATCTGAACTGAGGGTGCATTTACAAAAATAACTCTTCAGTTCATTCAGGTCGTACAAGCACGGGGACTAGACATGACGGGCCTTGGCTCAAAGCCCTGAAGAGATTCTGTAATTTGACAGAAACGAGGAGAGAAGAGGAAGCAGAGATAAGTGGATGAAAAGAAAACATGCATACCTTTCTGAGCTCTCATCGTCTGCTCTTCAATCTGTCTCAGCCTGTCCATGAGCTCCTCTTTCTCACGCTCTATCCTCTCCTTCTCCTTCTCTGCATACTCTCGCTTCTTCTTCTCGTTCTCCAGCTGAGCCCTGAAAAGTTTTAAAAGACACATTTTAGATAGAGTGTTGTTAAACGAGTAACAAAACATTTCTAGTATGATACAGCGCTCAGCCTCCAGACTAACTGAGACCCATGGATTCAGGGCTGATGAGTGTTGAGCAGAGATTTTCAAAAGATGCCTCCAGAACACGCAGTATTTTGTTTGCATGAATATTCAGAATATGTGTACAAATAAAATGCAGCACATGGAAAACTGCTAGGCTAATTGTTTTGTAACAAAACACCAAGACACATTCCTGTGTGTATAAATGAAATGAAGACATGCAGAGCTGCTTCATTTAGCTGAATACTCTTCTCCCCCTGGTCGACTTGCTTTTAGAGAGAAAGCTTGATTAAAAACTTGGTAAAAGATTAAAAACTGAAGGATTCCTACTGCAGCCCTTCTCATGAGCAACGACAAAGTCTACTAATGACCTTTTCATTTAAGTTTAAAACATCCTCAAGTGACGCAAAACAAATGTACCTTTAGTTATAGCACTGGGGAATTTGTTTTCCAGCTTGATCTATATAAACTTATGAACGATTAGAAAAGTTAATTCAGGGTTATTTTGAGGAAAGTTAGCTTTGATCCTTAATGACTTAAAGTTGTAGCACCTTTATCTAAAAAAATAAAACTCCCTCTGGCTCAGATCATGAACTCTATGAAGAAAGGCTGCCCTCTAGTGGTGTTATTATTATCAACACTTTTTACAAGTGTTTCAAAAAGTGTTTTAATTATTGTGCAATTTTAAAGGGTAAAATATTAAATAAGCAAGTCTCATTTTAACCCAACAAAACGATGTGCAATTTATATTTTATCAACCTTGTGGAATAAATGATATCCCTGTAGGATCTTAAAGATCTTTTGGCTGTGTACCTCTCCATCTGTTTGTGGTGCTTCTCTTCCCGGGCCTGAGCCTTCATCTGCTGCACCTCGATGGTGTCAGGCTTCCTCCTCCTCATGTACAACTCGTGGTTCCCCATACACAACGCCAAGATCCGCTTGTTGATGCGCAGTCGGGGGGCGTAAAACACAAAGTCCTACAAGCAGAGAGGGGAGGATGTAAAGCAGGAGTTTTTCTCTCTTTAAAAATCAATCAAGTGGCTGACGTTTTTCCTCTCGCTCTCACCGGTGCTTTCTTGTCAATCGGTTTGATGACAAACTTCTTGTCGTTGAAAGAGATGTTTCGTATTTCACTCCAGGGGAAGCCGATCTTTGGTGTCAACCTGGAACACAAATTTAAAAGAAAGTTTACAACTTGAACTTTAAATACTTCAGCTTACATCCCACTCGCCGATGATACACAGTGAAACACGTTTTAACAATCAGCCAGCAGGTGGTGCCCTAAGAGAAACAAATCATCTTTAAGGAAATCAGATGACTGAATGCTCCTTTTTTAGTTTATGTTGCAGTTTTGTTTTAAAGTGGTGACAGATAAGAGAACAAATATCACTTTCTGTCAAAAAGACTTTCTCTAATCCAGAAAGTACAAATAAAAGAAAGGACAAGAGGGGAGTATATAAATTTATGATGAGAGAAATAAACTATCACTCATTTCCTTCCTGTGGCACCTTGACAAGAGAAAAAGAAAGGCAGATGTGATGACCTCAGAAGACGGACAGGAAGGGGATAGCAGTGAGAGGAAATGCTGCAGGAGATGTGATTAAATCTATCCCTTTATCCACAAAGGGTAAAAAATATCTCTGAGCAGAGGACAGGAAAGACGCTCCTACAATGGACCGACACAGTCCTCCCTTCTCTCAGTTTTTATTTCAAAAAGGAGCTTCGCTTAGTCGAAACTTGCAGAACATTGGGGATTTTAACTTTGGGAACGGGCCTCCGACAAAGTGAGAAATATAAAATCTAGCCTGCCGAATAATGCGATATTTAATTAATTAGAAAAAGAAAATGCAAACAGAACTGCACAGCCAGAGAGACTATAATATGATGTTTTCCTTTATTTCTTCACTATGTAATAAATCCTCTCTGTAGCTCTAATCTGGGTCATATCTTGTGGTGAGGTCGGGTGACACTGGAGGTGAAATACCGTTGCTTTGGTACATACTCGATTGTGAAACTGTTCCAAAAGCCACCATCTATTCACGTGTCTGTGGCTGCTCAGTAATTTACAGCAAACCACAGATCTGCAAATGTCATTCATTACCAAAACATGGTGGGTAAACTGGTGTTTATTGGTCATGTCCTAATAGGAACTGAAAAGTGTAAACAGTCAGGCCAGCTTTTAAATGTCTTCAAAGATCAAATTATTTTTGCCAAAATCCATCACTTATATTGTAAACTCAACTCTGTGTATGCGTCTGTGCGTGCTGCTTACTTGTCTTCATGTTCGTAGATGTTGAGGCCGAGGGCATCGACGCCCAGCCACAGCTGTGTGCCCTTCTTGTTTTTGATCTCAAAGTAGTTCACGCCGTACATCTCCAAGTCCTGAGCGATTTTAAGGTACTCCATCATCGAGTCCTCTCTGGAAAAGTGGACAAGCGTAACATGACTTATTTGGCCTTGTCTGGTCTAAAAATAGAAACTGTACGGACACATAATGTGCAGTTCACTGTCCTCACAACATGCACACTCACATACCTGAGCATTCCTCTGTGTTCTTCGTGCCAGGTCTGTATCCTGTCCTCCCACTGCTCCTTGGTAAGTTTGTGCTGCTCAAGGACTCTGTGTGCACAAACACAAGCACAATGACTTCACCTGAAAGGATTGTTGAACTGTATGAAATAACCTTGCAGGAGGAAATCCTTGAAAGTTCCAACAGGGAACGCGAGGCATTCCAGATTCAGAATATCTGTGTGAAAATCAAACAGAAACCTCCCACAGTGTTCTCACAGGCTGGGAAATAGTGTGTGTGTTTTCACCTCTGAGGCAGCAGTCTGTCGTGGGTGAGATAGCCAGGTTTGTGGACATCCTTGTTGTAGTCTCCATACTTTGCCTGGACAGCATATGATGCTAGAAGAACAGCCGTCTCTGGAGGACAGTAGTTCTCATCATTGAGAATGGCCTCCTTCACCTGAGGTCGATAAAAAGATGAATTAATTCATTTATTCAACATTCATATTTATTTTAAAAATAACTTTCAGCTTTCTAATCAAATAAATATGTTCTGCAGATATAACCGTTCTCTCCTGTTACATTGTGGACTACCTTTAGATGGAAACTTGAGCAGAGAGTGTGTTGTTACCTGCAGGAAGAAGAGTCTCTGGGTGATCTCCTGGATGAGTTCCTCTGAGACGTCCTCGGGGAAGAACTTGGCTCTGAACTTGAACTGTAGAGGGTTTTCTTTCTTTACATCCTGCTGGGTCACCTGAAAGACAAAGACACCATCTGTTAAGCAGCAGATCATAAAGGTTGCATCAAAGCTGCATGTTGGTGACTGGCTGAGCAGGAAGGAAGGACAAGTCATGAACTTATAATAATAATAAATCCATCAAGGCATATATATTTTTGAGCACTGCTCACATAGACGAGCCGTCTAAATTCAGAGTTCATACTATAACAAGTTGCAGTGTAACGTAAATAACCAACAGCCTGTCAGAAAATACATGCAGGACTTGTTACAGTATCAGACTCAGGTTTGTTGCAGAGTAGGTTTACAAATATGTCTTGGTCTTGGTGTTTTTGGAGCTAAAAAACATCAAACATAAAAGCAAAATATAAAATCAGAAAGCTAGTGAACAGCAGAACTATCAGTGGACTAAAAAAAGTGATCAAGATGTGTGCAATACGAGTCAAGGAACATCTGTACAGTTGAGCAGGAAGATGCAGGATGATGTTTAGTCCAAATATCTATGTTACTGTACAGAATTTAAGACAGTGTGCAGTAGAAACAGACATCACTTAAGTCCAGTCAGCATACCCAGACATGAAAGAGGCATCAAGTCAACAATGTGTAAGGCTGTGGGTCAGCTGTTCAATCTTCCTGCATCATTTGAAGATATTTTGTTCAGCTGGTCAAGTCTTACAGTAAAGAGATTTTACAAGTAAGCCACAGGGTAAAATATGGTTGCTATAGTCCGGGGTTAATGTCAGAGCATGAATCCTTTACAGAACTGTTCCTCAAATATAAACGCATGAAAAAGAACTGCAACAAACTTGAATGTTCTTGGAGCTACACTTACATAATCTTATCACAGTAATTCAGGGGAGATCTTTGGATTTCAGGGGGCATGTGCACGGAAATAGTTTCCTTTTGAAGCCGCTTTAAATCCTGTTTCTGGTCTATATTTGCTGGAAGGACCGGACATATGGACACACATGCTTCACAACACTGAAGTGAATCAGAATTTCTCAACAACTATTTCTGGAGCTCCTGATTTCTCTCTCCTTCACACACTAGTGGAGTGTGGGGGGAATCTTCTGTCATGCAAAGTCAGAAACACACAGATGCACTGTAATGCTGGTGTGTGTGTGTGTGTGTGTGTGTGTGTGTGTGTGTGTGTGTGTGTGTGTGTGTGTGTGAGCCAGAGTGAGAGGAAGCCTGTAAAAGGAGTGCATCAGAGAGCTTCTGGGCAAATCCCAAACAAACATCCGCCGGAGTGGATAAAAGACCAACAGATAAAAGGGAAACAGAGAGTAGAGAGACCCTGACAAATAAGAGAGCAAGCATGTAAGAAACACAATACATGTGTTTGGTGACGAGGGGAGAAAGCAGAAAAGAACTGACCTTCTTGTTGAGTTTGAGCCAGGTGCTGTACCTTTACTGTCAACATACTGCAGACCAAAGAACCAGACCTCCCGCAGCCCCACCGTCTTCACCACCTGAGAATTCAACAAAAAGGGAATCTGGATTTCTACAGCTGATACGAGCATTATTTCTAAGGTTAAAATCTGGATTCGCCCTCTTTGTGTTGTGCATGTCACATTTGGTATCACATCCTCGTCCAAACATGCAGCAGATGATCAACAAAGATCCCTGGAGTAGGTTGGAAGGCATTCATGGATGCTTCAGTGCATAACTTATTTGTGCAAATCCTTCTTTCACATCGGTTAAATTATTTTTCCTTATGGTCTTTTTTGGTCTCCAAAACATGTGAACTACAAGACACAAGGAGTTTTGAAAGCATGGACTCTGATGAACAATTGCTTCACAAGAAATTGAGATTCAGATGAATATCTTTAGACAAAAGTATTTTCAGATTAATCTCAAAGTCTTCTCCTTCGACACAAAAATGTCTCCACTGATCAGCAAAAATCATGAATGTCTGTGTCTGCTCCTCTTTTGGTGAAAGGTGAGAGCCAAGTTAAGAATGCAGTCAACATTTGTGGTAATAAAAGAAAAGGTACATCAGTCATGCTCACCTGGTCAAAGAGCTGTTTCCCTGTCGTATTTGGTTGGATGGCAAACTCAAGCTCCGCATCCATGGTGGTCACACGAACATTGATCTAGAAAACAAACACAACAAGAGTTTCATTTGTTTGTAACATCAAGTTTTATTGAAGTGAACTGCAAGTTTTTTTATTCTAAACTTCTCAACATGATGTACAACTTCTAGTAAGTTGTACATCATGTCTGCTGCTCAACTAAAATCAGTCAAAAGTTGAAACCAAACTAAAACAATAAACTAACTTTTCAAAGAAGCTCTTTTCCAAAATCTTCTTTCCAAATATCTTTATTGCATGTTCAATCCCCCCGTACATCCGCTGTTCCACTTTGTTTCTCCACTTTTTAATCAAATTTATGCAAAATGCAAACATCTTCCCAAAATATTATGATAGAAATAGTAAACGTGACACGTGGCAAAAATGCACCACACGCAGAATCCCGATTGCTCAGCATGTGTCGGTTTTCCTCAATCCTAACCAAAGCAGCAACAGTGTTTAACAGTGTTTCTCCATGTTTCCATCCTTTACTGCCAGAGCAAGCAGCGCCCCAGCTTTCGTGACAGCCCACAACTTCTCAGCTACCCCTCATGGGGTGGTGCAGAGAATAATACTCGTTCATTGGTTGTACCCTGCGGAGTAGCACTGGCAGAAGGCCTAGCAGCAGCTGATGGCACAGAGCATCGAGGGGCTGACCTCTGAGTTATTTGACATCCTTCCTCTCACACCTACGCACACACTGAGCTGTGTGCCGCCTCAGCTGCGGTTAACATGAGAAGAGATACAGAGGGGAGCACGTGAGGCTAAGTGCAGAAGCTGCAAGAAGAGAGAAAAAATAAGCGGGGAAGATAAACGCAACAGGAAGCAAGAGAGCAGATCTGGGGTGTACTCTCTTTCAGATTAAGTTACAGCGAGGTTACTGAAGATGAGCCAACCTCTTAAAAAAGGAGGGAAAGGAGAAGACGAGATGCAGAAAAGAAGAAGCAGTGAACCTTCCTTTTTACTCAGAGCAATTATACACACAACCTCAGAAAGGCTTACTTTGCATTTCTCCCTCACTGTCTCTCATAATACCCCTGAGATGAATAATCAATGAAACTTGTGTCTATACAGCAAATGACTGGACTCCCGCTGCACCACATGAGGCTCAGACCACAATGTATCTCCCACTCATTAATTACCCATGAAGCCGCAGCACTTTCTCTGCACTATGACATTATAAATACACTGTGCGACAGTCCATTCATGGAAATGGACCAAACTGTATCCTACATGTGCATAATCTGACCTGCTTAAGGCTCAGGCCAACTTTTGGGGAAAATGTGGGCAGCGTCCCAGGAAAAAATGAAGTCTTAAATGACTAAATGAGGTATTTTGCCTTGAATATTTTGCAGATTATCTATTTATGCAGTTGCAGAGGTGCAAGAGATATTTTGTGCCCCAACAAACAGAAGGATAGGAGCGCTTCCTTAAATTAAGTATGTTTAACATGCTGGCGGTAAAGTGGTTTGACTCTCTGGTAAAGTTTTTCAAGTTGAAAATGTCTGAATGTCTCCCACTTCTCGATGAATGAGAGATGACTCTCTGTGAGTAGGAGGGTATTTAGGTTATCCAAATCGGTTCTTGTACCGTTTGACTGTGAAGAAGATGCAGTGCGTCCAAACATTAGCAACTGACCTCCAAAGAGTTTCCTTCTACTTGTCTGAATGACTGTTTGATTTTTATCATGACCATGCTGTGACAATAAAGGCATTTAAGTTGCTTCAAAACATAGTCCCTTGGTGTTAAAGGGAATACAGTATCTAAAAATCACAGGAAGAGGCACTTAATCTTAAATCCACCCAAAGATCAAGGCTTAATTTCAGTCTGGAAAACCTGCCCACACTGCAGTTTAGAACCAGATATATTAGCGGTAATGAAAAAGAAAAAAAAAAAAAAACAGGGCATGATTTTCAGGAAATAAAATGTAAAACGAGGAGTTCAATGTGTCCTGCAGAGGTAGAATATGAAACCTGTGGTAGGATGCATCAATCAAAATCTGTTCAGCTATGAAAGCATTGTTTAAATAACTTCAAACTATTTCAAGTTGCATGCAATGTGTGCTGCTGTCGAGTAATTCTTCAATCGATTCTGAAATGCTTTTCATATGTAAGTTTAGATGGCATGATAGTGACATCCAATAACATACGCTGCTCGTATCAACAAAGCCCTGTCAACATCATTACAGTGAGGATGCTAAGGATATAGTTACATGATACCACATGAGCTAAAGCTATTTCAGGCTTAGGTGAAAGTATACAAACAATATGACATCTTTGAGCTTTTGCGATGAATACAAGTGTCCAATAGGGTCATTTGGTATTATTGTAATCATCATTACTCACTCCTCAATGTTGGAGAGGAAGAAAGCATCACAACATATTCATAGCATTTTAGACAAATGATTTGCACATATTCAACAGGCTGAGCTCTGCTGTGTTAGATTTCTGGCACAAATTCCATCACACCACATAAAGCCAATTAAAACAAAACTTCTGCAACTAGGACAACTTCTTTGCCTGCTCTTTCAAGTGTACAAAATCAACCCTCTGAATAAAGAAACATTCATGGTTCACTGCCAGATGACTTAGCTCTGTTTTGGTTTCAGTAGCTGCCTCATTGACTCTCTGAGACTCGAGTAGTTATGGAGAACATAGTGCTGCTGAGCTGGGGTTTCCAAGTGACCGGAGATGAATGTTCCTTCGCTTGCATTTGTTTGGGGCCTTTGTGTGTGTGTGTGTGTGTGTGTGTGTGTGTGCGCCAAAACATAGCCAACCCACAGGGCACAGAGTGGTGGAATCCTGCGCGGACCAGACGGTCAGTTAATCCGCTCTCTCCTGCAGAGAGAGGGGGAGGAAGAGAGAGACGACAACATGCCGATGCTCTGACACAGCTAATCACACACACTGACAACTGAGCAATCTTAGAGGAGCAACTCCTGCAAGCCTGTCCTTATATGACAGTCTGGTAACAAACACACTGACTGCAACACAGTCGCTCTTAAAATGACCTATTTATCTTCTTAAAAAGAGAGTAAGAAGACAAATACCTGCAGTGAAGCCCAAACAGTGACACCTCTAGATGTAAAGCTTTGCTCAAATATTTCAGATAAAAACATGAACACTATAAACGCAGGTGTGTTTGTTTAATGAGGGATTTTAAAATGATTGAAAGCATACTGAATTAAATTTACAGTCCCTCTAGTCAGCTGCCCAACTTCCAAGAAATGTAACTACACATGGCATCACTGCAGGCTACAACAACTGTGACTTTTCTGCGTGATTGCATCGCATCAAAACATCCTGGGGCACTGCACTTGGTGCAAGTTTGAAGCTGCTGCAGCCTGTTAGCTTCCACGTCAAGTTAAAACTCAGACGCAGCTTTTTTGCAAGTCTCAATGCGAATGAGCTTATTATGTGTGAATATTTTCTGTTCAACTTTTGTGAGCTCCAACTCCAACATGGCCAAAATAATTTCAGCTGCAATTGACATGCAAAAGTCAGAGGGAGCCTCCTTGAGGTGTGTGACTGCAGCAGGCAATAACTAAGGAGCAGGCGAGCGAGCATGATGATGACGTTTATATCCTGCGAGCGGTGTGACTGGGGCAATCGTGTTAAGACATAATGCAGCAGCTTCTTTGTGTTTTCTTCTTGCCAAAATCTTCTTTTCTACTCATTTGTTAATGCTGCATGTCCAATTACACCAAACATTGCTCTGTCGACCACTTGGAATATGTTGGAAACATTCAACTGTGGCCTCTGCAGCACTTTTTTGACGTCATGTCTTGCCCGAGGTCCCTCCCGTCCAACAGGAAAGATGTCCCGCTGAGAGGGACATCTGTTAAAGAATAACTTGGGAAGATTCAGGTGCATTTTTAGGAGGGCGTTTAGGAAAGTGGCTATTGAGTCTCAAACACTGCATCAGGCTGTACGTGTTTGTTTTCCTTCTGTGTTGCACTTTAATTCCCCCTCTCCATTTCAACTGTGAAGACGAGTTCTCTCTCAGACGGGCCCCTTGTTAAATGTGCAGCTGTTTAGTAACTGTAAGCTGCTAAGAGGAGCTTTGCTGAGAGACGCACACAGACACACACACTTCAATCAGTAGAACTGCTAATCTGGCCTGCTGGGCTCTGAGCAGCTGTCTGTCCCTCTGATTAACCCCCCTGCAGGGTGAGGCAGGCTTCAGCGGGAGTGAGGGAGGGAGAAAAGAAATGAGGCACGAGAATGGGAGAGGAACAATCACCGCTACCTACCAACACAAATGGTCTTCCTTTTGAGGGAGGGAAGGTTAACAGCAATCTGAGGGACTTCAAGTGATTTTACAAGATGTACCAGAGGGACTACAAAGAGGAAGCAGGAGGGCCTCACTTACTCTACATTATTATGGACCCCATTTGTTTGGTAAATGCGGTTAAGGGTCAAATAAAAGCTGTCAGCAAACAAATTTAACGTTGCCTAGCAACAATATTCCAACTCCTCCCTTCCTGTAATTCTGACGGTTTCCTTCAAAGTTGAACACTACAACAAATTCCCATGTCGCCTTCCTCACTCTCTCCTGACAGTGATAATCCTCCTCGTCACTTTACTTCTGCTCTTCCTCAGAGTCAGGATGTTGACACAGCCTGAGCCCTGATATATACAGCAGGCCCCCTTAACTGCAAACAGGAAAACAGCCACAAGCTAGGGAACCAGCAAGGGCCCTTCTTCCTGTGGGGTGCTATCACCTCATAACTCCCCAGCTGGCCTCCAGCCCACAGCGAGCTCCAAACGTAAGGGCTGAGATGATATGTTGGGATAAATAAGAAGCCGCAAATCACTCCAGATTAACTGAACTGAACTCTATGTTGATAGGATTTGTTCTCACAGTAACTTTTTTTTGTTTTACAACTCGTACATTTTAAATACTTGTGCAAGCAGAAAATTTTCCCCCCCAAATGGTGACCTTAGGGAACACTACTGAGCCTGATTATTGTGAAAACATAGATCTTGCTGAACCACACTGGGTTAAAATCAAAGCAGGGACAATGTAACCTCCAAGCTGTTTGGGGTATTATCCGAACTGTCTACAAAAGCCTGAGTGTGAACAAGAACCATGTGTTTCTGTGTTCAAATCAATAAAGTTATTGTTATTACAAACTCATTGCCATCCCTGCTGGCTCCAAAAACTGTCGTGTTACTCAACCTTGTTTACACGCCTTCATTTACAGATGAGCGCTGACACCGAGACAAAAGAGGCCTTTTCCAAAAAGTTATGATGTCTGGCACAGAGCCCAGAGAAAGTCACGTCGGCTGGCTCTCGTTTCCTCTGTTTATTATGTCAGTGCCTCCCTGCTGTACTTTCTCTGTCAGTTATTGTCTGAGACTGAGACGTCGCTCCCTGCCCTATCCGAGGGTCTGTTTTGGGATGGTGCCCTTGTGACTCAGGGGACAGGAGGAGGAAATGAAGGGTGACATCAGTGCCTGGTTTGTTCTTCCTCTGAAGCTTCCAGAATCCCCCTACACACAAACACCCACCACCTCGAGAACAGCCAGACAGAAGACATGCTTTATTTGCAGCAAAGCATGTTGTTATAAGTTGCTAGGAAAGCGAATGATGCAAGCTTTAGCAACCCTGCCTGGTACTTTTTCCATGAAAGAAACTAATCAACATAACTAGACACCTAAACTATGAAAAAATCATATTGTAAAGTGAAAGATAAGCATGTGAAATGCAATATCTGCTTACTCATAAGAGAGCTTTACCCAGGTCTGTTAATGCTGAAAAAAAAAAACCCAGGGTTAACAGCATCGAGACAGCCATGAAAGAACTGCATCAAATCGTTTTTTGTTTTGGCGTTGTTCACATCCCAGCTCTCTGGCATTCTCTCCTCCCTTTCAGCAACAAAGGCAGCAGTGTTGCAGTTGCAGGCCTGTGGGTCTGGCAGTTCACTTTACACTCTGGCTGTTGTTTACTTGGATGAGGAGTATGAGGAGTGGGAGCAGCCAGGGGGTTGAAACTGCCACTTAGTAGACGCACAGATGAAGCTACAAGATCACAACATTAGCAGACTAGGCCAAAAGAGACTGCAACCTTTATGAATCTCCTTCATCTCATACATCCTGAACTACTTCAGAGGTTGTGCCTGCAAACTCGGTTTCTTATATCAAACAATCTGAATTAATTAGGAGAGACATTGCATAGCTTTTCCACTCGGTGCATTTCTGAACATCTTCTTAGAGCAAAAAGTGATGAAAGCTTCTGAAAATGTTTCTGCAAACTTTCATCTAACAACAGTATCCTACCGGTTTTGGCATCCTTGCTTCCCCTCTTCCTTTTGCCCGACAGCTGAGAGGGTAAATCCGTCACAGGACGGCAACAACACCTGGATCACAGGACCTGAAATTAAAAAAAGAAATTATTAACTTTTCCTTGAACTGTACAGAATACAAGGGGGAAACGATGTAGGACATGAAGACATTGCAAACAGCAAATACTAAAGGAGTAGAAAGTTTTCAGACAGGAGGGAAACACACTCAGTAAACTGAGTTTAACACCCTATTCAAATTGCCAGTCCAAGGTGTGATATTTACGCCCCTGCGACGTTTCGCCTTCACAATGAATGTCACAGAGGCGTAATGGGGGGGGGGGGGGTGAAGTTATCCCACCTCTGTGCTGGCATCGGAGGTTGAAACAGAAGCGTCCAATACTCCAGAAAAATAGCTTGAAATGAATCCCATTCCTAAACGTGTTAATGACCACGAGGCACAGAAACCCCAAACAGCCAAAAGAACAGAGACGTAGTTACACAAGGGAACTATTTTAAAGGTGTAGGGAAAAGCATTTAAACAAAATTGCTACAAATGAAAAATACCAGCAACATTATTAAGTTACCATGAATGGATACATAAAAAATGTTAAGTTATATTTGGTTTTCTTGTTTGACTTTGTTGGTCTGCTGTCAAGTTCTTCTGTAAAACACACATCACACTCCCAGCCGGTTGAAACACAAGCCTGAAGGTTTGGTGATGACCTGCGTTGAACTGTCATATGATACTAAAATAACGACTGTAATGTTGTGTAAATGAATCACAACAGACAGACATGGACACTCTAGTCCAGGGGTTCCCAAACTTTTCATCCCACAACCCCCAAAATAACGATGCGAGAGACCGGGGACCCCCTCTGTCCCTGGAAGTGGTTAAAGCATTACGGCGCACACAGCAGCACGCACTAATGGACCTATCCAAACACTGACATTAGAACAACACTAAAAAACACAGCAGCCTTAAACTAACTGAACAACATTTTTGTAAGTTAATTTCACAATAACAGGTCAAATATGTCATTTCAAATCATTTCCAGTTTGCATTTGTTTTTGGAAGGCGACCCCCACTTTGGGAACCATGGCTCTAGTACATGGCTCGATCAGAAATTGTATGACACAACAATACAACACCAAAGTACTATTATGTCATACATTTTGCATATCAACATTTTAAATCATAAGCCCTGTACTATAATATGTGTTTTATTGCCTTATTAATGCCAATTCAAATCCAATCTACTGTAAAGGGCAATCCTGACTTCTTGGCAACACTTTGGCATGGCTGTAGAGTAGTATTAATCCTAATCCTGTATTAATCCTGCCATTTCAGTTTAATGAATGACCAGGGTAACTAGTTCCTACTCATGACAGAATCCATAAAAGGGGACTTCATTAGAATAGAATAGAATTACTTTATTGATCCCAAACTGGGAAATTATAATCTTTCTCTGCCATAAGAGCTTATTTTCCTTTTCCCCCCTCTTCTTTAATTTGTCTCTTTCTTGTTTTGCTTTCTTTTACACTTTATTGAGTTTGTGTTCTTGTTAGCTTTATTGTTTTTGCTTGGACTACATTAATAATATGTCTGTGTGTTACATGTGTCTCTTTAGGAGGGCCACTCGACGAGCCCCTCTGGCTTTATTTGGCTCCTCCAACAAATTTCTTTCAAAATGTAAAGTTTGTTAATTAACTAATCATTATGTACTGTCTGTTTTTCCATTCATCTATTATGTTTATGTTTTTTTTTTTTTTGTGCAATAAATAAATAAAATTGTGGCGTTGTCCAAACACACAATATGAGCAAAAAACACAATATTAGCAAATTTAAACACAATATAATATTAAATACTAAGTAAATAAGCACTCAAATAAAAGCACCAATTAGGCAATTGAAGAAAAAGCCATGAATTTAATTAAACTTTTAAGGGTGAAGGTGTATATTCATAGTTAAAAATAATGGCAGGTGTATCAGAAATTTTCGTTACGTTCCAAAAAAAAGTCTAAGTAAGGAAGCCCACAGAGGTCATTTAAGACGCACTCCGCTTGAAGACATGCCCACTTGTAGCTTTTGAGCAATTAGCCTGCCTGTTTACCCGCCGAGAGTCAGCTTCCGTTACACTGAAATTAAACCACAACTAAATCAAATTGTGAACAACTATTAAAACGTTTCGCATAAATGCAGCTAATACATCATGACACGACGAAAAAATAAATAATAAATAACACATTTTGAAGTATAAAAAAAAAAAAACGGCCTTACTCAACTCTACTCGATTCCTCAATACAAAATATCGTGGGTGTAGTATAACGTAAAATAACGTAAAATAACGTAAAAATAACGTAAAAACAACGGCAGTAGCCAAGCCAACGTTAGTCAAGTTTTACTGCCTTAAAATGTTTGTCATCATTTATCGACTACATTCGCCACCAAAACATTAATTTAAACTATCCCTTTATCCCACTTATCGTAAATACAGGTGCGTTTACGTGATTTCTTGCAGCTAGAAGTTGAAACAAGTCGCTAATAGATGTTTAAAATGTGAATTAGTCGAACACGAGGATAAACTCGAAGAAGCTCATCTTTTTTTAAAGGAGAGGCAGAAACTCACCGGGGCCACGAAGTAGCTCTTTGAATGGACAGAAAAGCCTTTTTACTTCACTTCTACCAATAAATAGCCACGTTTATGTATCCGAGTTAAGTCTTCTTCTTTACCTTGTGATGACTCGCCGAAACAAATTCCCGCAGATGCAGGAAAAAAGAGCCGTTCAAGTCTTAACAACCATAAGGCGATTTGGGGTGATGTCAAGTCAGCGGGAATGGAAACACAACTGTTTCCGGTGTGGTCTTTCACAATAAAAGACTCATATAAACGCGAGGGAAAATGAGAAACTTTTTTATTTTATTTTTTTTAATTGTGATAAGGTGAACAAGTACAAAAAAAATGTGCATATAGACATGACAATTAAAGCAACGGGAAATAAACAAAAACAGAAATAAACAAAACAAAATATGCAAACATTAGCAAAGACAAATACAATTAAAGTAGATATAATAAAAGTCAAGTGGTAAGTTGAAGTAGTGTGTAAGAAACGTGTGAATGTGTGTGTGGCTGTGTGATGCATTAAAGTGAGTGGCTGAGTGGGAAGTAGCAAGAAAAATAAATAGCAACAAAATTGAAGATAATTGAGAGGAAGAGAAAAGAGGGGAGAAAAAAAGAGCGCTATATATATGTGTCAACAAAGAAGAACATTTTAAATTTGAATTTATATATATAGAAATAATAAAATAAAATGTTTGGTGTTAATGTGGCCATCATAAAAAAGATGGAGGAAAAGAAGACGAGAACAGGGAGATAATAATAATATAATAATAATAATGATTATTAATAATAATAATAATAATAATAATAATAATAATTAATAATAAGAAACAATCTTGACTCCAAAGCAATAAGTTTAAACTAATATTGAAGGACAAAAACACGTGTGAAATTATAATCTGAATACAAAATTACAGGCAAATTTATAACTTTACCAAAACCCTGTTGAGTATGGAATCAAAATCCCCCCCAAAAAACAAAGCCTTTTATTTTTTTTCAATTATTTTATTTTAATTAATTTTACCCCAAACAATAGACACAATGCAGACAAGACAGTACCAGCAGCAGTAACATATATCTTAAACCCATCTTACAACAGCACTGTACTGACATTCACATTCCCCCCTGTCCCGAGCCCAGTGCAGAGCAACATCAAATTCATGTAGAGACAAAAATAATAATCAGTAATAATACTAAAAATACTGAGCTAATGATGAAAGAAAGAAAAAAACCGAACAACAACAAAAAAAAAGCCTTTTAAACTTCAATCTATGACACGATCAACCAGTTCAGTTCCTTCATTTAATTAGTTATTGTCCATTTTTGTCTTTATTTGATAGAACAGTGGGTAGAGCAGGAAATCAGGAGAGAGAGAGTGGGGACTGACATGCAGGACTTAACCGCTAGGCCATCTGCACCCCAGTTATTGTCTAATATTTAGAGTCAAATACCATGTTCATTTTACAACAGAAAAGCTAACAGTGGGATATTTACAGGCAACGCTGCAAGGTGGAAGAGAGAAAACATCCTTGGGCACAGTTTGTGTTCAGATGCTGTAGAGATGTATCTGTTTAAAGCTTATTGTCACTCTCTGTATTCTGCACACTGGCGGACAAATTATAGGAAATCAAGCGTGCAGACTGTAAGTAACTTATAGACCTAATGATGCTTTGGGAGTATTACTGCAGTAAAGATCTCTATTTGTTTCCTTTCACTTCCTCTCTTTTCCTAATGCACCTCCTTCAGTACACTTCCTGGTTTCTCACTCTCTCCTCTCTTGATTGGTTGTTGTTTGCACTCGGTCACTAATTAATTAGATTGAATTCACCTGCCTACTCCTTATTTAAGACTGCACTGCCTTACACTCATGTTTTCAGCCTCACATGGGGTGGCAGTTCAGCAATGGTAAGGTGGCTTTTACTCCTGTTTTAGTTACTATTCAGTCCATTTTGATTTATCCTAAGTACTTTATTTATCTTTATTTCCTTCAGAAAGTAATTTGACTTGTTTACTGTGCTAATATTATTTAATTTGTCTTTCAGCGTGGATCTTCATTCTGTTACCCTTATGATTCACCTGATTAGAAGAAATAAACCTGTTGCATAAACTCAAGTTTTGTTGGATTCCTGCATCCTGACCCGATGCCCCCCATGGTGATAGTACCTCAACTCCTTCTTAACATTTACTCAACAGAAAGTTTGCAGGGGAAATGTGTGACTGAACAAGTCTCGAAGTTGTATCCAGAAATCTTTTATACAAATGTCCTCACTGAATCAATGTGTCAGTGTGAATCAAAACATCTTGGCTTTAGAAAATAATAAACCTATGAATGAATAATTCCAAACTAATAATAGTTTTATATGGCCTGAAGTTCTCAAGTCTACATCAAAATTCATGTTTCAGTTTACTCTGAAGGAAGACAAATGTCACACTTCCGGTCTCGTCGTCGGTATTTTCGGACACTTGACGCAGCTAATAGCGGGGATGTTCAACATGGCTGTCAGTGAGCAAGGAGTGTATCTAAGGCATGCATGGTGCCTGGAGCTGTATGGGGGGTGATTAATGGCACACTGAGCTTTTTTAAGAAGCTGAAGGATGACACAGCTCCACACACTGGAGCCTTCAGCAGACTGCAACTGTCCATCAGTCTCATTAAAGTAGTTCATTAAGCATACTGAAGTTTGCAGAAAAGCTACCTATACCTACAGTGTGTTTACCCATACTTACTGAAATATGTGCTGTTTACCCACCAGCTATTTAAAGACATGTTACCGGTTTCATGTGCACAAAGGTCCTTCTAGTGGTTTTTCTTTTCCATACATACAGGCAGTGTCATTTTCTTCTATTTTGTGAAATAATTTGAATGTTGTTTTTTTTTTTGTATTTTCGTGCTTTATGATTTGTATTTTTGATGTTTTATTTGATATGTCTGAAATAAATGTCATCAATCAATCAGTCTGTTTTATATATAAAACTGAATGTTCAGACTACATTGGTAGAAGTTGCAGCTCTGTTTCAGCTCTTTATTGATTTCTGCACTGTGGGTTATTTAATTGGGCTATCCTTCTTTGCTGCTGTAAAACTATAAAGTTTTATCTTAATGTTATCTTATCTCAACATTTATGGGTGGGTCATTATATGCACTTTTTTTTCTACCACTAGGTGTCACTGTTTCTCTTCTGTTGTGTCTTATGTTTCCAGGTACTGTACCACAGAAAACATTACCTGCCAATCATTTGCCATTATTAATTTACTTTAGTCTGTAATGCCCTAAAAAAAAATATTTTCACAATTCCTTTAAATGTACCACTTTCTAAAATCCAACTTTGTGAAAATGCAAAGACTTTTCTTTTACTGTTTTAATGACGAGAAGCAGCTAATCATCAGATTTAGAAATAAATGCAAATGTTTGCTTGGAACTAATTAAACTCTACTTCCATGTAAAATCTGATTGATGTTTTGAAATGGGTTGTGCCTGCACATACTTTGGGCTGCAGCTCTTAAAGTGTCTTCTGATTGACATTTAAAGTGGACAAAAACAACACAGCACAGAAATGTTACAAGATGAAACTGATGTAAAATACTGCAGATCTTTAGGACACTGAGAACATTATGTGCAACCATACATGGATACACACATGAGTATGATTATAAACACTGAGCATACCTGAAGGCCAAGCAGACTTTACATCACCCTGACATCTGCTAAAAGCAAGCAGGGGGAAGAGGAGTCACTGAGGCTCTATCAACTGGTTTATAGGTGGAGCTGTTTGGTTTGGGGGAATACGTGCAGGTCAGTTTGATTCACATTGATGCACAAAAAACTCACACTACAAGATTTCCAGCACATTAATCTAGCCATCAATCATCGTGTGTTGTTGTAATTCCCAGCTCGGACGCAAGGCGGCAGTGCAGGTCCGTCGGTAAGACGTCGACACGCCAAACCCCCATGATGCATTTAACAAATTCAATGTTTAGTTGAATGTTCAAAGAAATCGCTCTAACAGAACAGACTGTTGTTGTTTCTCTTAAATAATAAAGTTTAACTGTTCAAATTCGGCATCAAAAAATGACACCCAACCCCAGGGAGAGTTGCATTGTGGGAGGGAGAGTCGAGTGGCTCTGATGAGGTAAGTGCAGCTTTAATGTGTCGATGTTTCATTATGTTAGAAACATCTCTGTTGTATAGTTTTCATTTGAACAGATTTTATAAGAGGTTTTAAAGGGTGAAAAAGCAGAAATCATCTTAGCTCTCTCACTGAAGAAGTTATGTCTCCCTGATGTTTCTAACATTTTTCTAAAGAACTTTGACAATGAAAAGGTTTTACAAACTCTAATTAACACCTCAATCTGTCAGGTTTTCTTATAAGGTGCTGTAAGGCCTGTCTGCTGGGACTCTGGGCTCATCTTTGTGGTAATGATTAAATTCAGCTTGAATTGATGTGAAATTAAAAAAAGATACAGTTCCAGTCTTTTTATGACATGCAATTTAACAAAGTTCCTAAACCTGAAGTGGAATCTAGTGTGCTGCACAGAGAGTCTGAAGATAATGGTCCACTTTAATCCTATAGTGAGGCCTGTAACTGTAAATGTGAATAAAATACGATCAGAATTATGAAGTCCTACATGTGCATGGTCCACAAAGTCATTACTTAAAAATAAGAGCACACTGCATGAACTTCTTCTTCTCTGCTGATGTTTAAAGTTCTCAGCAGCTGCAGCCTTCGATCTGATGGATTCATGTCATGTCTTTAGTGAAGGATCATCATTGGGGGGTTTTGTAGATAGACTAGAGACACAGATTAGAGTTAGAGGAACATGGTGAAGAGGATTTTACAAAATGAAACGAGAGCATTTAGTTGGTTTGGAAGATTTAAAAACCAGGGTAAATGATCATTCGACCACTGTTTGCACATGTTTCTCTGCTTCTGATTTCTGTTTGTTGTCCGTCTTTTGTTCACTGTGTGAAACTTTGAAGCTGCTGTCGGGGCCAGGACTCCCATGAAAAAGAGATCTTGTCTCTCAACTGGTTAAATCAAGGTAAAATAAATGAAATGTATTAATGAATTTAGGCTGAAAGTTACCTTGAATACTTTTCTTTTTGTAAATCTAATGCAACAAATACAGTTTGGAAGTGTGATCTCTGGATCCTCAGCATGTCGAGTGAACTCCACCTCTGATCCAGCCAAAAATCCAGCATATCACATATTTGCATGCAGATTTTTAGTTTGTTAAGCAGATGCAATCCAAAGCTGCATCTGAAATGGATGTAGAGATGAGAACTTCATATTGAGAGTGAAAGAAGAAGCAGATTTAAAAAGTGCTGCTTCATCTTTATGAGCTCCTGGACATCCCCGAGGCCGTCGTCCTCAACCTTCGCTGTTAGAAGTGTCACATTGTGCTGCATGTGGAACTCGTCCAGAGTCTTTATTTAGCCTGGCATATCACCACGTCACAAGATCCCTGTTCATATGACTGGAGGCATGCTGCTCTATTGTCAGAGTGAAGAAAGGAGCCACTGTCGGCCTCACTGCTAATTGGGCAAATTTGCCTTGATTGTTCTGCCAGAAGTCATCAGGTGTGTGTGTGTGTGTGTGTGTGTGTGTGTGTGCAGGAGTGTGTTTGTTTTTAAGGACGGATGTGATATTGATGCACACAAAACACACATGCTTCAAATCCTCAAACCTGACACCAACCTTTGCCTTAATTGCAGAGCTAATAATATCAACTCGGCTGCTTCAAATCAACTTTAAAAAAAAGAGTGAAACAAACATTTTTAGGATGTTAGACTCGTAGTAAATGATGCTACAGTCGAGTGTGTCTCTTTCAATAAGTTGAATGTCCAAATGCGAAGAAAAATTGCTGCAAACCCGATCAAATGAAAAGATGAAATTAGCTTCTGTAACGTTGTAAACACCGCAGTACAGTCGTGTGTGTTTGGTACACAGAGGCATGGATGTTGTTATGTCTTACGCAATTTCCAAAGTGCCTTCAGTACTGTAATGTGTGTTAAAGTGTGTGTGAGTGTGTCTTCCTTCCTCCTCCTCTCCTGCTCACTGCTGACCAACTGAAATGGACAGTGCATCAGTCTCTTTCTGTTCCTGAATCCACCGCTCAGGATCAGTTTGACTGTAGATCTGCACTCTGGGTTCATCGTTTGAGTGAAATATTCAGGTTGTTTTTGTTGCTCTTTTAGGAGTTGATGTGAAGAGGAGAGTGTGCAGAGCTGAGGATGGGAGAGAAGCTGTCGGTACATGAAGGCGTGGAGCAGAGCGTGGAGGTGCTGTCGACTGTCAGTGGTAAGGATCCCTGCAGCCTCTCACTTTAACGTGTACAGTATGATCTTCTATCATCTATCTAAAGAAGTGCCCGGTGTGCAGCTTCTCTCACTCACATGTCTCTTATGTCAGGCTTTTTCCTCCTCTGTATTAAAACCAGACTTCGATGTTAACTGTTTTTATTTCACTAAAAATCTAGAAAACGTCTTTACAACCTGTTCTTCACTTTGTCATGAGTCTACAGAGGAGATAACAGCTTGGTGTTAGGAACACACTTCACTAAATTTGAGAGTGAAGTCGACGTTTTGAGAATGACGGTGAACTTAGCACATTCATTTCAAACTTACAGTCCAGTAGATTTATCAAATTTATCAACACAGCACTTTTTACCAATGGGGACGGACATGTGAGAGAGAAGCCACAGGTGGGACTCGAACCTGGGCCGCTCGCTTTGAGGACTACAGCCTCTGTATGTATGTGGCACTCAGCACTTTTGATCCTGGTAAAGCTGCCAAACCTTAAATTAAAAAAAAAAACCTGCGGACTCTCGTCCCCGGCTCATGTGGCACCTTGTGCTTCTTTGCATCCTCTCGTGTGTCTCTGCTTCACTTTAAACAACAAGGTGGCTCGTGTTGTTATTTTATGTAGCATATTGTAGATATCATGTTGTGCAGGTAGTCGTCAGAAAACCTGTTGCATACAAGTCCCTTCATCCTTTAGCTCTATGCGAACGGTCAGCTGCTATAGTGGAGATATAAAAAAGAGCACATGGACTGTAATCATATTAAGATGTATGACTTGTGGATTTATAATCGTTACCAGCAGAGCAGTTTTGATCTCATGGACTCCGGCGCGTCCTCTTGATTGATAAATAAATCAAATCTTTGAGAAAGCCTCGTAATGAAGAGCCCATGGCCGCTCTCGTTTGCTGCCCTTTGAAGTTTGCAAATCGGGGAATGCCCGTGTGATTATGTGCCAATGAAATGAAATAAAAGAAAATGTGATCGTCTCAGGGAGGTGGAGACCTTTAGAGATGGCACCAGTTTAATAGAAATACCCAAATCATTCTTAACCCAATGATGGGATGCTCACAAGTCCTCTTGTCTGAGCTTCTGGGGTTTAGTGAATCAGAACCTTTAAGCTCCTGGTGATATTTGCAGACAGCTTTAAGAGAGGCGGCCCTCATTATTTGTCGTGCTGTGTTCCTAATCAAATTTGGTTGTCATGGGAACAGATTTTTGAAACTCGGACACTTTCGTTCTGTCAGTTTCTGAGTTCAGGGTCAAAGCAAAACGAAGGTGATTCAGTGATTTTAAAGATGACTTTTGGAACCTGGTGAACAAATCTTCTCCAAAGTTGTGACATAAACCAGCAAACACACATTATCCAGAGTGAGTCTAATGAGCTGTAGGGGGCCGGGGGGGGCTTATGTCATCGACCTCCACCCCTCTCTTCCTGTGATAAACACGGCGCGGACATGAAGCGAGATAAACAATCACACATTCACAAGAACAAACAGGAAGACAGGCGGCCTGAACGAGCTCATGGACAGAGTGTGAGTTTGATTTTAAAGATGTCTCTTTTGGAGTTAATTCAAGAGGGCCAAGAAGTGCTGAGTCGACTTATTTACAATCTGTCGCTTTCTATCAGCGTGTTAACCCGACACACGCACAGCAGGAGCTGCGCAGCGGCCTGGAGGAGAGGTTAGTGTCAGTTTGTGAATCTTCAGGTGTCTGTTCTTTACATCAGCGTGTCGGGATTTCCCACCAGCCCGGGTGATTCCCCCCTGCTGTGTTTCCCCCTCATTTTTCAAACATAATAGAAGA